CAGTTTATGGCTACGTCTCCCTGATGTCAGCCTAGATAGTCGGTAATTGAAGGTCAGTTCTTCTAAGAAGCCATAAGACTATCTCAGGTGTATTTCCTTTACAGGTGGAAGTCCTGCTCTCCTGTTTCATTGCTTTTTCAGACCCAAATGCCTTAAACTTCAGTGAATTTACCTTGAGGCAGGGGTGGAGATGACATTACAGTTTGCCACTACTTTGGTTGTGGAATTTTAGATATCTGGAAGACCTCCTTAAGCTTTGTGGAAGGAAACACTTCTAGTGAAAAACACGTACTGACTCATCACCAGAACACAGAAAAGTCAAGAGCAGATGTATTCCCATAGCAATACAACTTAGCAGAAGTTCCCAGGGTTTCACTTATAGATTACTTCTGGCACAGGTGTGTCTGATGGGGAAATTCATTTCATGGTGTTTGCAAATGAATCATTTGTTTCACTTCAGCAGGTAGGATTTAAACACCTCAAGCATCCTTACCAGTTTGTCTCCTCTGTGGCCATTGTTAGCAGAGGATAAAGTGAAGTGTGGGAGGAGAGAAAGCTTATCATGATCCTCTTAATGGGTTCAGAGGACTAAACGTTCCAAAGCATTCATTGGTTTTATATAAAGATTTGAGAATGGAAGAATACCTATAATATCTAAAAGGATTATTTTTCAGGGTTTATATTTTTGGAAACCTAATACTTAGATTTAGAGAAGTATCTTTCAAAATTTGCTTTTTCTCCCAGGTTCTACATTTTAAATGAAAACTCATCTCACAAAAATACTCAGTGAAATCTCCAGACATTTAAATTATTAAATTTAGGGAGATGAAGTAGAGCTGTCCTACAAACTACTGAGTGCCATCAATTCCTGTAGAGGTCATATAAGGAATTTGACACATGGTGCAAATGAGGCCTTACTTGCCAACATTCAAATTCTGACATTTCCTCACAAATGAAGGAGGCAACAGCACAAAGTTGTGCTACAAAAAAAGGAAGTTATAGGCAATCAGACAGTTATGGATTTTGGATGAGATATGTATAGTCTCAAGATCCATTCATGATTAAAATGTATGCCTAAGGGATTGTCAGTGGTGGATCTGAGTAGGGGCAGATCTTGATAAGTCTAGGTCCAATAGCTCCTAGAAACATGGAGAAGTCCAACCAAAAGAAGCTCATACTTGCACTAGAAAGGAAAGAGCCACTGAGAATTTCTATTTCCTTACATTCTGGAATATGTACAATTTCCTGAATGACACAGAAGCTACTAGTGTATGCAGATTGTCTAAATTAGACTCCTAGGAAAATAGGAAATGGAAATGTAAGTGTTGAAAACTACTTAATCTATAGTAAAACCTTTTGATGTGTAATCAAATATGCTAATTCCAGTAGCATATCCTCCTGACCTGGGCACTGAAAATTACTAGAACTGAAAAAATTGCTATCTCCAAAATAAGACTGAAAGATTGGAAAAAAAAAATCATATTCTGCTTTCTGATTCATCTTTTGCTCTAAATCAAAAAGAAAGAAATTCTGATACAGCTCTTGTCCTAACTGTTGCTAAGAAATATGGTTTGTTATTCTGAATGGAACATAAGGGTGCTTCTCTCCACAAACTGGGAGATGATAGCTGCACAGAAATGCATTTGGCTAGCACAGAGACTTCCTTATCAGTGAAGTCCTTAGAGAGCTACTAGAAATGTATTGAAAGGCACCACCATCATCCGGGTTTACCTGGATCATTGTCTACTGCATTGAGCTTCATTTTTCCCTAAGCAATGGAGCTTGTCTTGTCTGCGGGAGCAAGCATCTGTCCCTTGTGACGCACTAATCCAGCCCCTGGATACGTGTGGGGAGCTCGTGGCCCTGAGAGTCAGAGTGCTGTGGCACCATGCTGTGGGCGCGTGATGGTGGGTGAGGAGCAGCCCAGGTGAAATGCTGTTCTGTGCAACAGCAAGGAGGAAAGAAGATTGCTGTCACAGTGCCAAACTTGTTGTGCAGTGGTCTTGGGGGTAGCCGGAGCTTGGCTGCATTTGGGGAGCTGCTTCTGGATCATTTCTGCTAAAGAAAGTTGTTAAAGTCAAGGGGAATGGGAAAAGAACTAAATGTCTTTATTGGTACCCTCTCTCTCCCCCTCCAAAAACAGTGAGTGATCCAATTGCAGATGTTCACAACAGAGGTGTTGTGTTTTGGGTTTAGTATTTATCCTCTACTTCCTCTAGCAACTTCTCCAGAGGATCAGCTCAGGAATGACAAGTGCACACTGTCTGTTGCCTCTTTGCTTATGGGGAGAGCCTGCTAATGGTGTACTGAATTACTCAATCAGCTGGTGGGGCAATAAGTAGAAATGAGCAACAAATTATATTTGGCACATTACAAGAGCTGTGAGCTGCTCTGGGCTGTCCTTTACTGAAGGGCTGTGGCAATTCTTATCTGCTTAAGGTCTGCATGATCTAGAGGTCCAAGAATGAGGAATCCCTGTTGCAAGTTTTCCTGGATGGATTTGTCTGAGAAGTCAAAAAGCAACTGTTCCCGTGTTTCAGTAAATGCATCTTGGCATCCAAGCATGAAAAGGAAGAAAGCACAAACAGGGAAGAAGTGTTGATTCATTCATGGTTCATTAATTTTTCATCAAGGGCAGCAAAAAGACAAACATTAGTGTTAACATCTCAGATTCAGAGAATTGCTTCATTGTAAGAGGCATTGAAGCTGACTGATAAGGAAGCAGCAGAACGTACACCAAAAGAAAATTGATATTTCACAATGCTACTGTCAGACCATTCATAATGTTAGCAAAGGCTAACAAGACCATGAATTTCAACTTCCCTTATACATGCAGCTGGAAATGCTGCAAGTCTCTAGACGATATTCAAAAACTTCTATACATGACTAGACTAGACTTCCAGTCCAGTACTTTCTTTGTTCATAGCTACATGTTGGGACTTTTCAGGCATGTGTGTGTGTGTGTGTGTGTGTGTGTGTGTGCGTGTGTGTCTAAGAGAAAAATGTGTATGCTGGCTGTGGACAGATGGCCATCTTCATCTTGCCTACTGCCACTGCAGAGCCAAGCTCATCCATTCTGTTCAGCTTTGCAGCAGAACATCAGAGCAGCCCCGCTCAGGCACTGAATCTCAGCAGAAGTGCAGGCACTGCCAGCATCATGGAGCCACACCTGACTCTTCCCCATCACACTCCATGGAATCCAGTGGAATCTGCAGGTCTGTGGACAGAAAGATTCCACCCTAGTTTTTCTCAGAAGAAAAAGGAAAGCAGGGTACTGATCAAATTTTCAACTTCTCACTTTATACTGAGACCCCTGACATCCTCAGCATAGGCCCACCCTCAGTGCACTCAGGGGTGCACCTCACCAGATCAGGTGCCAAAGGAAATGCCTTTCTTTCCTGGAGGAGGAGTCGCTCTCTCTCTGTTCTTGTTGTTCGCACAAGAACAACAAGAACAGAGAGAAGAGAGACCAAAGCACAGATCTCCCTAACTTGCAGAATTATGTACTTTGAGATAGAAAGGGCCAGGGTGCTGTCCTGTGATCTCCAGCCCTACAGTTTATCACCTGATGCACATTGATACATGGGGAAGCAGGAAGAGCAGAATGACAATCACATTAAACCAGTTAAATTGAGTACTGATGGACCAGACAAGGGGCAAATATGGAGTTGAAACAGACACAGACAACCTAATCCTCATCCTGCCCTCTCCTGGGCAGGATGAGGATTGGGCACATACCTGGAGAACTTCAATGAGTAGAGATTTTGTGAGGGGAAGTTTCAGTTGCATCAAGTGGAAAGAAAATCCCTGTTTACAGTGGAAATGTCAGGGTATTCCCCCCCTAAAATGGTCACCTTGTTACAGCAATGTGGAAACCCAAAAGAAATTCCTAGGAGAGGTAATGCAAGTGGAGGCATCCAGCTAAAAGCCATGTAAACAGAGTAGAAGATGATCTCTTAAAATGTCACACCTCTTCTTTCTTTTGGAACAGCCACATCATTATGTTCTTTGCATTTTCAGCTCCAGCTCTCAGGAAAGATAGAAGCTGGTAGGAGACAGACACTGATAAAGGCTGTACTGGCAAAGTGTCAGGTAAAGGGAAGCCATTTTTACATTTCTGCTCTGACAAGAGAGGACAATATATTCTAGCCTGAGAGCTTAGATGGCAGAAGCAGCAGTGATTAATTGGTCTAATTAGGGCTCCAAATAGGAAAGAGTGAGTTTCCTGAACTATTGCATGCTAAATTTCCTAGCTTCTATGAATAACTGTATTGCTCAGAGGAGATGGGCATCAGAGTGCATCATCAGAACAAACATTTACCCACTTCAACCTAGGAATATCACTACAACCTCAACACAACTAACTAATGCAAAGACACAACAGGCCATTTTGGCAGCTGGGAGGTAGCATAACAGTCCAGTTTCTCTGCTTCCCTGAGGGATCATTAGTCAGAGAATCACAGAATCATGGAATGGCCTGGGTTGGAAGAGACCTTAAAGACCAACTACTTCCAACACCCCTGCCATGGACAGGGAGACCTTTCACTAGACCAGGATGCTCAGAGCTCCATCCAACCTGGCCTTGAACACTTTAGGGCATCTGGCAGCCACAGCTTCTCTGTTTCAGTGCCTCAGTACCCTTACAGAAAAGATTTTTTTCCTTGTATCTAATCCAAACCTACTCTTTTTCAGTTAGAAGTAATTTCTCCTTGCCCTGTCACTACATCTTCCTGGAAACATCTCTCCTCTTCTTTCTTTTAGGCTCCCTTCAGTTACTGAAAGGGCAAATTAAATCGCCCTGAAGCTGCCTCTTCTCCAGGCTGAAAAATCCCAATTCTCTCAGCCTTTCCTCATAGGAGAGGTGCTTCATTCCTCTGGTCATCTTGGTGGCCTCCTCTGGACTTGCTTCAGCAGGTCAAATCCTTTCTGCGCTGGGACCCCAGAGCTGGATGCAGGGTTCCTGTACTCAAATGCATGCATGGAAATGGGTGAGCTCTTAGTCTACCACACCACCACTTGCTGGTTTCAGTGAACTACGAATTTCTGCTGGCCACCAAGGCATTAACAGGAGATTTTTCTGCAACAGGGCTGGCAGCTTAATCCTTTTGTGTTCTTTACTGATGTTTATACCTTTCCACCTCCACCTGCCTTTCAGACACCAGTGAATAAGTGTCAGGTCCTGATTCTGACCACTTTGATGTGGACAAATAGAAATAAAATCACTACAGTCAATAGAATTACACCAAAAAAACCTACCTCATATCACTAGAAGGAGAAAAGAACATATAAAGTGCTGACTGTCAGCTTTGCAAAATGCATTATGGGAAATTCTGAGTACACTTCTTCAAAAAAAAGCTGGAAAGTGTTTAGCAAAAAAAATCCCACAACACTATTGTTGGAATATATCCTACACAGCCCGGGAGTCAGCCAACTTTAGCAACACTCTTCTCTCATATGCAGGAAAAAGCTTTTGCTTCAGCTGAGTCCAGCTGCTTCTTATTGACAATCAGATGTACTGGCACAGAGAGCATCTAATCTGGATTGTGGCCATCTACAAGTAGCTAGAAGCACACAAATAATAATGGTTCATCATTGCACACTGATTTATATGAGGCAGGCAGTGACATGCATATATCCATTATTTTTTCTTTCAGTCTTTGTTTGAACTCCTCATTGCCTGACTAATAAAACACACTGATAGAGGCCACCAGGAAAGGAGGAGCTTAGCACAGGGGCATGCCAGCAGCACTTCACATTCAGTAAGTACAGGGTTCCTTTCACTGCCTGTGCCTGTCAGAGGAGTTTCTACAGCGCTACATCACTAGAGAGGCTGCCATCAGGGCTGCAGAGGATTGCAGGCTGGTCTGAGAAATGTTCCTACTGGTGAAGCAAAGCAGAGCAGAAATATGCAAAGCAAGCCTCACTGCTGATTGTACCCTCTCATTTGTATGCTCAGCACTCTTCCAGTAATGAATCATCAGCCCAAGTTGTGCTCAGCTCATCATGGCTAGAAATGCTGCAATAGCACCACACTGGGTGGGGGGACACAGATTCATCTCCAAATGACCAAGCAGAGGAGATAGTGCATGGCTATGAAAGTGGCAAAATTATACCTTGCTGATGTTGAAAGTGGCATAATATACAGGTATCCATGGCAGAGTTGAAGAGAGGAGAGATACACCATGACAAGGTGTCTGCAGTGCAATGTGCATCAGTGGTGAAGCAAATGTTATTCCCCTCTAGTCAGAGTACTCTAGAGCACAGCAAAATTGCACAGCTGTGTCCGTGTTTTCTTTAGTGAGGAAAACTTTTCATGTCAAGGCAGGGGAAAGCAATGTATGCCACAGAGAAAGAACACTCCATCCCTTTCCAATCACCCAAACAATCTAGGGAAATAACACAATGTTTTAGACAAAATGCTTCATACATTCCCAGCCAGAAAGGCACGCTCTGTTCCAGGTGTCTGCAGCACTTACCTTAACGTGGTGCCTGGAATTTGCACCCTGGTGAGCAACAGAAGGGAGAAGGGAGCTACCAGTCCCATGGACACCTGAGACCAACCATGAACTTTTTCCTAGTGATCCCATCTCTGTAAAAAGATGCACCTGTGCCTGCCAAGAACAAAGCTTACATGTGGAGATAACAGAGCAACACAGTAGGTTTTTTTCCAAGATTTTATTATGAGAGAGTGAGGGAGTTGTTTTTTTTTTTTTTTTAGCAGCTCAGTTTTGGTTACAGAGATTTATGCATCAGCTTAGCCAAGTGGAACAAAGCAGAGGATTGGAAGAAGTGGAGGGACACACCAACCCTCAGGTACTGCCTTTTGCCAAAGTTGAACTCATACAAAATTTGCTTTGTCTTGGTGCCCTTCAGGGAAATAGGAACAGCTGTACAAGTCCCAAGTGCAGAGGAAATTAGGGAGCACTGATGCCATATATGATAAAGGGGAGACATCTCTAAACACAATTTCAAAATTAAAAATCTACAATCAGTTTTGTAAGGTGACATTTTGACATGGAGCCATTTGCCTCCAGTGTCAGTGGTCTCTCAGTTCCTAGACATTAGGCCTTTGAAAGCCTGAGGAAAGCCTTACCATCAAGGAAATTTGGGATCCTTTATAAAGCCAGTCCTGAGGGAACAAAGATTTCCCTTTTTGTCATGATCCACTTACAGCAGAGCAGTAAGGGGAACAATTGCAGGATCACAAATGTCATCTTCAGAAACAAGGAAACATTTGATATGGATAAAGGGATAATTAAATGGAGATAGGAGAGGAGGAAAGGAGAAAAGTTGGATTTTTAGGAGAGCAGGGGTAACATAGATCACAAAAGCTGTATTCTACAAAATACACAGACTGACATGCATCTCAGTTAACAACTGGAGAAGTATTTTCTTTCTCATGGGTTGACCACGTGGTTCCTTAGACTATGTATGCTCCTTTTCCTCTATCTCAGTTCCAGAAATTGCTGCGTTTGCCATTTTTGCTGCCTGGCAGTATTGTGGGAGGAGGTAGCAGCTCTCCATACCATTACAACCAGGACAGATAGAGCCAACAGGCCATGGCTCTGCACAAACACATTAGCTCCAGGGATTAAGACACTTCCTTTTCTTGCTATATTGTTGCTAGGGAGCTCCTGAGGTTCCCCTGGATACCATGCAAGAGATAATAAAATGCTGTCATCTGTCTGAACTGAACGGTAACTGCTACCAACAGTTTCTCTTGTTTTCTCTAATTTTTTTTTCCTTGTTTGTTTTAACCCTCATTTGTCCCCAAAACCAAGGTACTGCCTATGGCTGGTTTGGCATAGGCAAGAGAGCAATAAAACGACATACATTCAGCCTTGCTTATTGTGCAGACGCTGAAGCAACACAGAAGCAGCACTGAAGCTGCTGTTCATGTCAGCAGCTTTGTCTGAACCTGCTGGGAGAGGCAGGGATGCGTTCAAGGCTGTGACCTAATGCTTACGTCGAGCCAGGTCCTCGTTACATAACACAGCAGCACTTCCAGGGTGCATCCACAGCACCTCCTTGCCTCTTAGTCACTCTCCTAGCTTGCCTGAGGTGTCTGCTTATGTGCACCTCAAAATGCATGTGGCAAATTAGATTCTGAGTTGAAGCCAAAGACATAAATACCTTCTTTGTAAACCACTGTGACCCATGTGCTGCCTGTGAGGGTGCAGGCTGGGGAACAGCAGGTCTGAAGCAGAAGAAGAAATGTCAGATTGTCTGGAATCGTGAAGTGAAGTCAGAAAGGGAGAAGTGCTCCATTCATACATCTGCCAGTAAAATTTGAAGAAGATGGTTTCATCTGTTGGATTTCCAAATGAGTCAAGATCCAAACATGCAGCATCACTGAAGTCTTGTTCATGTACCTTTCAGCTTCCTAAAAATCTCATTGTTTCTCTATACCCAAGATATTTCATATTCAAATCACAGCACAGATTCTATCTGCAGAATCTGCATGATTGAAAAAACTTCACAACCAGAACAGCAGGAACAGATAGTCACTGTATCAGATCTAGCTGACAGCAGGTACCAACAGTGATGCATCATGTCAGCTTAAGCAATAATAAAAAAAGTCTGCCCAAGGCTCTCAGTGGCCTAACACATCTCAGGTATAATAAAATCCCAGCAATATTAAAATTATTCTACCAGCCGGCTCCAAAACCTCCTCAATAATCATCCATTGTTACTAGGGCCATCTACAGCCCTTTGGTGAAGGCAGATAAGACCATCTCCTGCCTTTCAGTGAGAGAAATACTGCCCATACTCAGCAGGTACTTCTACTGGCATCCCCAGTGAAAATTAATTTCCTGTCTCCCTTCAAGGAAAAGTGAACCTTGGAGTCCCTGAGATCAGCCAGAAGATAGGTGAGGACCAAGGTAGTGTGACCTCTTATTCTATGCATTTTTCTAAATCAGGACAGAGATGCTGAGTGGCTGATATTCAGGCATTTTTTTCCCTGTGCTTTTCATATGCTTTTCCTATGCTTTTCCTTCACCTGTGAGAGGAGTTCCTATGTTTTTCCTTTTGCAGCTACTTGCCCTGCAGAAGAATGACATCAGTCTCCACCTTGGGACTGCACTGGCACACAGAGCCCAGACCCTGGAGCAGAAGTGGGATACAGCAGAAGGTTGTTTGCCCAGATTATTATTACCTGCTGGCCACAGCACCACTAAGCTCCCACTGGTGCTCCAGAGGTGCAGAAGGAAGGGAGTGCCAAGTCAGAGATCCTGACAGCCAGTCCTGTCTCTCAGCCATAGAAAGTGGCTGCTACAGCAAGATGGCATTGCAGCCAAGCTCAGCAGGGTGTGTGGGGTGATAGCCCTCCTGCTCAGGGCCAGCAGGCAGACAGCAGCTCTGAGCTCATCAGGAGACCTGCTGCCCTCAGGTCTGCCTCAGTGCATTCAGTGCATTCACCAGTTGAAAGACCCAGAGCAGCAGCTGGGATAAACTGCCCAAATTCAGCTCAACAGTTATTCAAAAGCCAGGGGAGATATTAGGAGGAAGTCTTGATCCCGTCAAAGGCAGAGAGGCTCTGCAGGGAGACCTAACAAAGTACAGGGCCACACAGGCCCGGCAAAGCCTGGCTCTTCACAGGCCGCAAGTCCAACTGCAAGGGATTACCTCAATAGAGACATGAAACCCTCATCCTTTGTGGCCCCCTTGTGCCCACCCTTTGTGGATAATAACTCAAAAATGCAAAACCAAAAATTAAACCTGATGGCTATGTTCTGCATAAAAGGTGTGGAACTGGCAACGGTGAATTAACTGCTGCATTTCACCTCCTCTTCTCTTCATAGGCCTTTAAATGACAAAAAGGTGACGTTGGTTCATCCATTTCTTCCACAAACACCAGCTTCAGGGCTGTGATGAAAGAAAAAAAATGAAGTTTAAAAAAAACTGTTAACCAAAATATCTGTATAATGAACTGATTTTTATACTTCCCCACAGACCACCATTGACGACAATGGCTCCTGAGAATACAACTCCAAGAACTCCCTGCAGAGAAGGAAACCCAAGCCTTTGTAAGTGTTATTAACACTCATGTCAGGACTGCTCTGATCTTCTCTCTTTCTTTGTCACCCTCAGCCTTATATATCATCTCCCATCTTATTTTCTCAGCTAGGCACATCCTTGATCTGTATTTCTGAGATGATGCCACCTCACAAGGCCCGGAATAACCGGTAGTACATACACAGCATAACTATCTTAAGCATGTGAGCTGGAAGCATGTACTCTGCAGTCAGAGAAAAAACACAAAGCAAGACAGGAACCTAATTTAGCTGCACTGAATTGCCCTCTGAAAAAGAGCAAGGTGCTTGATGACAAATCAGGAAGATAATCTCTCTAGAGAGTTGAGGATTTACCAAATATGCCCAAAATGATGTGGCACAGAAGCTCACAGGCACAGGGACTGCGCTGAGCGCAGAAATGGAGACTGGCTGCACTGCATGAGGCTGATGGGGGCACACCCATGGGCTGGAACACACCACATGCTCAGGCATGGCTGAAGTCAAGAGGGGAGGCCACTTGCAGCCCTTGATGCCCCCGTCCCCTGGGATGGCCAGCAGGTGCCGAAACTTGGACAGCTCCCTTAGCACTGTCATTTTCCTGAGCTGCAGCTCAGGGGAGGGCTGTGCTGCAGCACATGCCATCACACAGCGCCTGGAGATGAGCCCTACCAGCAGGCAAAGCACAGCCCTGATCCTGCTCAGTGGCTGCTCAGAGGGTGGTTTCCATTACTGTCTGACCCCCACGGGCAGGGAAGTGGAGTAATTCAGCTGCTTGGCTAAAAATAGAAGGAGAGACTTCCCTTTCTCCCTTTGGCCTGTTCAGTGAAAGCTCTCCACACTGATTTCAGCCACTTTAACTGTTGTCTGCCTCTTTCTTTCTCTAGCCTTTCACAGGTCTGATATTCTCTGCCCCTACATTTCATACCCAGACTTCCCACCTCTTTTCTGCCATGCCACTTCATACTTTTCTGTCTCCTTCTGTTTTTGCAGCTGCATCCTACCCCTCCAAGTTCCCTTTTCCCATCACTATTGTACTGTCATGTTTAGGGCATCACAGATGCAAGTAGAAGGCATATGAAACCATCATTTTGAGCACAGCCACATTGCTGCCTTGCCCTCTGATGGTGACAGCTGGCAGGAGTCATCATCTGCTTCAGGCACCTGGGCTGGCGGACTCGAGGTTCTGCATAGCCAGAGAGCAAACCAAGTTCCAAGAAACATTAGCCTGATCCTTCACACAGCATCCACCCTGCTGTGACAGCGCAACAGCATCGGGTTAGCAGCTGCCTGAGCACTGGGAGGAAGGCTGAGGGATGGACTGAGGCATGTGGCAGCTTGGAGAAACTGAGACTCGGACTGTACAGTAGCTGTATATGAGCTATCTTTGTTTAAATTCTTGCATTTCCTCCACATAAAAGATAGTCCAAATGAGAGCAGAATCTGGCTTTACTTTTCATGTGCTCCACGTGTTATTACATAATCCCTTCTGAAAGTATTTAATTACACTTGTAAACACAGTGTCTGTGATAATAGAAAACTCCGGTGGTGTACCGTACTAAAATCCTTTGGCCAGCATCCACTGCTCCATGGAAAGACACAAAACTCTTTGGCATTAAGTTATTACCAAGTAAGCTGCTTGTAGGTTGTTTCTTTCCAGCTTCCAATGAAGCTAAAGGATAATCTCTGCCTGAAAACATAGGACTGAATGTGCTGATTGCTTTCCTTTAACTCCTTTTTTATAATTTAAGCAGAGTACTGGTTTTGATCCTGATTACAAAAGTTGTGGGCTAGATGCTAATAAACAGTTGGGAAAGAAATCAACAGAACAGTACATGCTCTGGAAAGAAATCAACAGAACAGTACATGCCCTGCTCACCAACTTTGGCACAAAGGAGTCATCATGGAATTTCACTGTCACAAAAGTACCTAACATTAAGGCTTGTAAGGTAGAAAGATAACTTCACGAGTCAGTATCCTGGTATCAAAGCTGCCACATCATACTTATGTAAGACGTAGACTACTGACCACTTTTGTGGAAAGTAGTCCACACTTCTAATGTTTTTCCAAGCACAATATTGTCAGAACTGGATTATAAAACAAACAAACAAACAAACAAACAAACAAACAAATAAATAAAGGCAAGTTTACTATAGTAACATTGGCAGAATGGAATTATTCTACCGAAAATATAAATTACTGTATATTTATTTTAGACCAAAATGCCAGAATCTGTCCCACTTCTTTGCAAAACTTTCAGTGAAAAGCAGAATTTACACTAGATGCAAAGCATCCCTGGTGCAGAAGATGCACAACTACACAGAAAATTTATTTCCCAGAGGAAAAAAATAACCTACAACTTCTCATTAGGTAATTGCAGATATTGTCATGAGACGTGAGTTATCTACCCAGTGACTAAATGTCATTCATCCTTCCCAAAGGTAACTGAATAGGTTTACCTCATCTCAGGAGAAAACTAAAGGCTATTCTTGTGTGGTCTGTATTGCTGACTTCCAAACACAATTTCCTGGAGTCTCCCATACAATCTCTCCCTCATGCCTGATGATCATACACAGGCTGGTGCCTGGACTCATGCTAAACATGTAACTGTGCAGCAGGTTTTTACTGATTTTGGAAGGAAAAGGGTTTTCTGAAAGAAGAGCTGTTGGCTTCCTTTTAGTTGTTGTGAGAATGAAGGCAAATGAAAGTAAGAACTAAATTTGGTGTCCAAATGCTTTGTATTGTTCCAGAAAAGGTACTGTGCCAACAGCAACAAATTCTGGTGCAGCACATTCACAGTGATAGTGGCAGTGACAGACCATGTCCAGGCCCTGTTTTATCAGATTTCTCTAACACACTACGTCCTTTGCAAAAGGTGGGACAGCCTGGGCAGGACAGGAAACTAGTCACACTGAAAAGGAGTAATGTCCTCTTCCAACTGGAAAATTGGTAAAATGCAGCTGAGGCTTCTCTCAAGCAACTGGAGCTTCCACAAGGGATCAGGTACCAGGACTTCTCTCTGGGGAGAGAATTCTCTTCAGCTAGAAGAGAACTACTGCATTAGAGGTGAGACCAAAAAGAACCCCAGCCAAGGCAAAGGAGACTGGAACATACTGGTGGTGCAACAAGGGTGTTCATTGCTATGGCCTTTGCAGCTACTCTGCAGTTGCAAGATGATCATCTGCAACCACCTCAGAGACAGCACGATCTGCAAAACCCCAGGTGAAAGACACAATTCTGCTTTGGGAAAGTTGTCAAACATTACTCCCAAGCTCTTATTTTAACAACTGAAACCCTGAGTAAAAGATTAAATTGAAGAAGGGTAGTTAATCAACACTAGACTTTTCTTTAGCTGAAACAAATCAAAACAACATGTTTTGGGAACTTGCAATATCATACCTCCTGTACAAAATAAGTATTTTTACTAACATCCTTACAAATCCTGGGATTTTATCAAGAGGTTAAGTGTTTATTTTGTTGTTCAGTTTAAGATTCAGGAATCATACAGATACAGATTTTGGTCTCAAAGTTTCTACCACTTATGGTATACATGGAAATGTGGAAAGCTTCATAAATCCCTTTCCCTGTCTTCTTCCTTTCCCGAACCTTCCAGGCCCCCAGGAATAAAATATCAATAAAAGAAAAGAGGCCCACTATGATTTTGCATCTCTGTCATAATACTCAGATGCCACTTCAACAGTATTTTTTCTTGGAAAATTTATGAAAATTTTTTTGCTACCACCAAAGTTACATTCCTTGATAATAATCTAAGCTATTAAAATAGATTTTTCCTTTCAAGAAAAAGACTGGAGCATTTCAATTAGCCTTTGAGAATTAGATAGAGATAATTTTCTCTAATTAACCATTCCAATTTCTTCCTAAATGACTTCCCCCAGTAATTCAAACATATTTCCCTTCTTAATTCTGCTACTACTGTGTCTAAAATAAGTCTACACTCAGTTTTACATTTCATTTTCTGCTACAGTGGATCTAATAAAGCACCTGATTTACAGAAGAGAATGCACAGTGCTTAGGGGCTGCAGGGAGAGGTTGTCCAACCCACTGGTTTCAGAGAGTAATTAAAATTTTCCCCCTCTCTAGCCCACAGCAAATAAGAGACATTTTGCAAGCTTGCTTCCCAAAGGTCAGCAAAGATGGCCGTGACTGGAAGAAGAAGATGCTTGAGGTGATGTGCTCTGAGGATCAGTGATTAAGAGATGGGAAAGAGTGGGGAGTGCTGGTGCTCACACAAGGTGGCCTGCTGCCTGGTGCTGCAGGGGTGGCCATGCCGGGCAGCACGGCCAGAGGCAGGCAGGGGGCCAGGGAAAGGACAAAGGCCCTGTGTGACAACAGGTGGCACAATGTCCCTGGAGAGGGACAGCTGGGGGGTGAGGGCACTCCTGGGGTGGCAGAAATCACAGAAATCCCACACCACAGAACAGGACCCATCACTGAACTCTGCAACAGCCTAAACACAGAATGGGAAAAAGATTTTTGTCAACAAAACTCAGCTGTCAGAGGTATCAAGAAAAGGATTTTAGGTGAATTGCCAAATTGTCTCCAAATATTATCTCCCATATTATCCTTGACCAGAAGAACATTTGTCGCTAGTCATTGTCCAAGACTGGATACTGGAGCTGGGTGATTCGTAGTCTCTGGTCTCAGTCAAGCATTTCCTCCATTTCATTTATAGACTTCTCCAGAAAAAGGGGAGATCCTAGTCTCAGGGGGAAGATAATCTCTCTTATCTTCTGAAGCAGAGATTTTCAATATCCTGTTAATCATGAAAACACTTTAATCATTCAGTATCATACATATTTCCCCCAAACAGGCCTGCCATGTTTCTCCTCATGGAGGGTTTTCTAGGACAGAAATCATGTCCATGCATGGAGAGAAAGTTTTTATAAGGACATGCAGAGATAGGATAAGGGGGAATGGTTTAAAATTAAAAGATGAGAATTTAGATTAGTTATTAGAAAGAAATTCTTCCCTGTGAGACTGCTAAGGCATTAGAAGAGGTTGCCCAGGGAGGCTGTGGATGCCCCATCCCTGGAAGCGTTCACAGTCACTTCGGATGGGGCTTTGAATCATGTGATCTAGTGGAAGGTGTCCCTGCCCATGGTGAGGGATTTGGAGCTGGGTAATGTTTAAGATCCCTTCCAACCCACCCCATTCAAATAGAAGTGATTCTGTGATTCTGTGTCCAGCTCCCTGCACAGAACAAGTCCCGTCAGGGTGCAATGAACCCCTGGGATCCTGAGTGACTTCCTCTGCATTGTGTACTGACAGTTTAACACACCCATTTCAGTGTGTAGCAAATACTGCACTTGCATAGAACAAACCAGCTCCTCTGCAGTGCTCCAACTTGAAATTTCTGCATAACAACTCTGATCAGGACATTGAACATCTGGAATTACAGGCAAACATCCAAATATGGCAGATTTCAACCAAACATCATTTTCAGCAGAGATGGTATATGTGAAAGAGCTGGAAGCATAACAGTTTTATCAGCCCAGAGCCAGCCAATCCTGCCAGAACTGAAATCTCCTACTCACTCATTATAAAATCAGCTTTTTTTCACAACAGAAAGCAAGTATTTTTGGCTTTTTTATTTTTTTTTTTACAGAATTTTTTATCAAAGACCTAGAAGAGCCATCCCATCTCTCTTTCTATTCTCCCTGTGCTTCTCAGGTACTAATTCTCTGGTTTTTCATGCTGTCACTACTGGCCTGACTTTCCATGCCTTATTCAGAGCATAAGGAGTCACTGGAAGTTTTTCTGCTGATTCAAGCCCTGAGCACACGTGCAGTCTCCAGAGAGTTTGTCAGGGAAGGGTTTGCCTTTATCCAGTCCAAAGCCATTTAGATTGCAAACTCAAGAGAGGCCTCTAGAGTTAATAAAAGGAAGCTGCAAGTGTCTCCCGAAGATCACTGTGTCCCAGCACCTGCTGTCTCCTACCTGCCTTGTGAAGCAGCACAGACATGAGCAGAACAATGGAGAAACAAGGCTGCCACCATGGGAAGCACTATAAGTAAAGAGAGAGAAAGAAAATCCCAGGAGTTGCAGCCAGTCTCCCCACAGACCAAAAACCAGGGGAAACCTGGACAACCAAAAAACATGTTTTCCTCCAAAGCATGAATTTGGCATACACAGCTGTGGGGCCTCTGGAGATGCACATGCAGAGGGCACATCACTTGGGTCTACAGCTTCTAAACTGAAATGTTTATGACAGAGGAAAAACCAGCATTAGACCTCTGGTCAGAAGAACATTACAGCTTTGGGCAACAGATAGTCACTTCCTGTTATCATGTCTGTGGAATGTGTTAAAACTAGATAAAAATGTAGGTATAAAACTTCTATCATGCCTGTAGTAGCCTTCTTACCTTCCTCCAAGGGAAGAAAGGCTGCACCCAAATGACTCTTACAATCTTCTTCCTGGCAAACAAAATTTTCCTCTTTAGAGTACTTCAGTGTTGCAGTGCATATTTCACAAAGAGCAGAAAATCCTTTGCTAGGGAGCAGCAGTTTGCTATTAACAAATGCAGAGTGTTACTGCCTAGTAGAGCAGAACGGCTCACAGAAAATCTCTTTTTCCCTTTTGATTCAAAAGGTCATACAATGTCTCAGAGACAGTATCTCCTATTTTCATAGCTGCTTCCATTGCTAGGATAGAACTTTGCCTAGCTGCCTGAACATTAGAATTAGTCCTCGGCATAGCAGTGAAAATTTGGCTATTGAGCTACCAGTGAGAATTTGGCCATTCAGCTATCAAGGAAACCATCCCTGAACTTTTGTGCAACTAATAAAACATTAATATATCCAATAGCAGGAGTAGCAGTAAGGTTCAATACAGCCATAGACAAAGCCATGTCAACAGCCCAGGTCCAGGCTCCATCTGTTTCACTCCAGACTCTGATCCCAGATTGACAGCAAAGATTTCATTTTATTTAACTCCCTCTTGGAGGAAAAATGCATAGCTGACAAGATATTTTTTCCATTATTGTCTCCATCATGATCATCTAATAGACCTGCACCCCTAAATGTTTCTCTGTTTCATGGTGCAGACAACAGAGCATGGAAAACAGAACACCTGAGAGTTTGTCTACCATGAAATGGGGACATGCTAGTTCCCACAAGCAGGAGAGAGATAAGTCTCAGCCTAAGATTATGTTTGTCTTCTTCAGGCCATGCAGAGTCATGGCAACATGGACAGCCCAAATGTACATGCTTTAACTTCATGCTTGTAATTCCGTGTGTCTTGCCAATTCTTCTTCTGTCCATGGCCTTCCTTGTCTAAGCCAAGGAAGAAGTTTCTGTATAGTCTTTCTGTTCCTGAAGCAGCACAGAGGAAAGGCTGATCTGGCATCCAGCTGCGGCCCTTCTCTCCCGATTCTTCCCTCTCTCCCTTGCGCTCGAGCAGGACAGACTGGCCTTGCACTTGGATCAGCCAGGTTTGGGGCCCAGGAGAGGCTGGGGGACCAAAGGGTTATGCTGAGATAAAGGAGGGAAGGGGCATGGAGTGAGATCCCTGAATCTGCAGGCAGTCCCCTCTCTAATATTCAAGTGTCTGGGTACCCTGGGAGCTATCCCCAGAGAGGCAGTGCCTTCCGCTCAGACCCCTGGCCAAGCAACCCACGCCAGGGCAGGGCTTCCTGCAGCACCAGCACCATGCAGGTTGTCCTGCCTGCCCCATGCCTCCAGAGAGCAGTAAAGCAAGCCCTGAGATGAGCCAGGGGGTTGATGCATTGCTGCTGCATTCCTATGTGATTCCTCCACTTTTGAAGGATGCAACACCTGCAAGTCACTCTGGGGAAGAGGACTGAGCCACAGTGGGCGTTAAGGCAAGCCCACAGGGCCCTGCCAGACCTCCCCAGGTGAGCAGCAAGGCAGGCATTGTTGCTCTGCTACATGCATGTGGCAGGAGTGCTGAGGTTCAAGGGCAATCTCTGGAAGATTGCGACTCCATCACAGCCCTCAATTAAGCCAGATGGGAGAAACAACCCTTCATTTCAGCTTTGAATTTGTTTTGTTTTAATCCACAGCAACTGGGCCTTGTTATCTGTCTGCCTGCTTTACTGAAGAGCCCTCTGTCATCACATCTCTGTTTCCAGAAGGTACTTACAGATTTGGATCAAGTCAGCCAGTGGCCTCCTGGGTGATTAGTCAAATAAATTGAACTCCCAACTGTTTCACTACAAAAGCAACTTTCCTGGTATCCTACTTGTTTTTCTCCCTCCTCTCAGAGCCTCCTTCAAATTAGCAGCATGTTTCTGAGCTGCAGGCTCAGGGCTGGACACAGCATTTCTGCCACAGTCACCCCAGTAGTGTGCACAGTGGTGACACTGTTGCTCCACTGCTATCCCAGTGGTGCTCTTTTCATCCCAGACTCTCTCTAGGATACTCCTCTGGGTGAATACCAGCCTAAGATCTGTCATGCTGAATATGGGCTGCCTTCTTCATTGACAAGATCTTTGTCCTAATGGTCTGTCAGCACTCAGCTCACATGGTTCCAGGTTCTTTTATAGAGTAGTGACATATCTCAGTAATTATTTTCTAATCTGTGTTTATTACAACCTTAGTATTGTAATTTCTTTTATGCCCCTGATGCCTTGATCCAATCCAGCACCACATCCCACTGTTAGCTGTCCCCTTAAAGTGGACAGGAAAATTCCTTCTCCTCCTAGGCAGAAAGACATATTTACCTATCAATGGATATGTTGGCACACATCCCAGGCCATGCCAGCAGTTTTGTCCCCCTAGCTGTCAGTGCAGGCCACCAGCACACCCTTGTCATAGTTGACTGC